CCTTGCTCACATAGAACATAAATTCTAACTGAAGATTGTAACCACAGGTAAGGTATTCTAACCATAGGTAAGTGCAGATTTAGAAACTATAATATGAAAACAAATGGCTTGAAATAGAAGAATGACATGAAGTTACTCTCAGAAATCACTCTGGCTTCTTAAAGAATGAACTGGAAGTGAGTAAAAGTGAAAATGAGGAGACTGGTGAAACAGTTCAGACAGTATAATATGAAGATTCGTCCCTATCAACCTAGGTTGATCAGCCACATGGGTGATGTAGATTGCATTCCCAGCTCCTAATAGCTCAGGCTCCAGCTCAGTCCCAGCTATCATGGCCAACTGGAGAATGAACCATCTGCAACTGGTTCTTTGTCTTCTCTCTCTCTCTCCCCTGCCCCCAAATAAATTTTTTTTAAAAATTTAAAGAGACATCTGTTCCAAGGTGTCTTACAATAAAAGATGAGTTGATGAATTAGTTATATAATTTAGAAGTTAAAGAAACAAAACTTTCTGGTGAATTTCATGTGAATAAAAAAAAAGAATGCAGCAAGAAAGATATCCAGGATTCTTGCTTGTGACTTTATTATCATTCACTGAACAAGAGAGCAAGAAGGAAGCACAAGTTTCTGGGAAAGTGTAGTAAATTCATTCTGGTTATGTTAACTTGAGATTTTTCAACAGAACACCCAAATGAAAATTTTGGCTAAATATTTAAATATAAAAGCCATGATTTCAGAAGAAAATCTAAGGTTAGAGACGGAATTCAGAGAGTCATCATCATATCATATCAATGAAGCTACAGGAGTATATTCAGTTAATAGAGAAAAATATTCAAATGAAGAGAGGATAGATGCTAAGACAAAATACAGTTTAAAGAATGCATCAAGAAAAATAAACCTTCACGAGACTGAAAATAAGCAACTGAGGGGGTTGGCTCTGTGGCGTAGTGGGCTAAGCCTCTGCCTGCAGCACCAGCATCCCATATGGGTGCCAGTTCGTGTCCTGACTTCTCCTCTTCTGATCCAGCTCTCTGCTATGGCCTGGGAAACCAGTAGAAGATGGCCCATGTCCTTGGGTTCCTGCACTCAGGTGGGAGACCTGGGAGAAGCTCCTACCTCCTGGCTTCAGACTGGCCCAGCTCCAGTCATCGCAACCAGCAGGGGAGTGAACTAGCACATAGATTTTTCTCTCTGTCTCTCCCTCTCTATTTCTGTAACTCTACACCTCAAATAACAAATTTTTAAAAAAAAGAAGCAAATGAGAGATCTAGAAAATCTGTCATATTTCTAGAGTAAGCACCTAGAGGAGGGTGTCACTATTTTTTTGACACAGAAGACTTAAGGGGATTATTAGGCAATGAAGAATAGGAAATCAAACCCTCTTAAGGCTGTGATTCCTGTGATTCTTCTAAAGAGAGAGATCAAGAAGATAGTATGAATATTTGAGTGGTTGGCTCAGAGAAGTCTGGGGAAGAGATACAAATGTGGAAAATTCTAGCACACATGGCATTAAAACTGAATGTGATCACTTTGGAGAAAAATATTTTTAAAATGCACGCAGGATGGACCAAGCCCTGAAGATCTCCCATATTTACAGTCTGCGTCATGAGGAAGAGCCAGTAAAGGAGAATGAGACTGAGTTGCTGGTGAGACAAGAAGAAAGCCAGAAGAGTGTGACATCATGGAAGGAAAGATACAAAATTCTTTCCCAAAGGAGAAAATGACCAACCATGCGAATGCTGCTGGGGAGTTGAGTAAGATGAGAACAGAAACATAAACACTGGATTTGCACCAACGATGTTGGGGAGGTGGTAGAGATGCAAGCCAGATTTGAGTGATCTGAAATTGACTAGAAGGTGGGAAATGAGGCTGAGTGTGCACTACTTCTTTACGGAATCTGAACGTCCAGGGTGGCAGAAGAAAGAAGCACTGAATTGAGGGTGGGGTGACATGTGTGGTTATTGGGGATTTTTTTCTCTAAGAGGAATATTATAGTACATTTATATACCAATGAGAACATTTCAGTAGAAAGAGACATTTTCAGAACACAAAAGATAAATGGAAGAATTAAAAGGTTTTAAAAGACAAGAGAGGGGTGGGCATTTGGCTTAGCAGTTAAGATGCTTCTTGAGACACCTGCCTTCCATACCAGAATGCCTGGGTTCGAGTCTCAGTTGTACTCCTGATTCCAGCTTCTAACTAATGTCCAGCCAGGAGGCAGCGGTGATGGCTTATGCGCATGGGTTGCTGACTCTTACACGGGAAACCCTCATAGAGTTCTTGAGCCCTGGCTTCTTCCCGGCCCAGCACCAGTGATTGTAGGCATTTGAGGAATGAATCAGCAGATGAAACATCTCTGTCTGTCTCTATGTCTCTCTGCCTTTTAAGCAAATAAAAATAGTTAACATTTTAGAAAGAAAAAGGAAAGAAGACCTCAAGAAAAATGGAAGGTACTGGCCTTTGATAGAATTGACCTTTTTTAGAATCATTTATTTATTTGAAAAGTAGAGTTACAGAGAGGCAGAGGAAGAGAGAGAGAGAGAGAAGTCTTCCATCCACTGGTTCACTCCCCAAATGGCTGCAACAGCGAAAGCTGCGCCGATCCGAAGCCAGGAGCCAGGATGGCTTTACCCGCTACACCACAGCACCAGCCCCAAGAAGTGATTCTTCCTTGATCTTTCCTATAAAGAAGAGAAGAGATGTAGGCAATTTACTGGTCCCATAGGGCAAGCTCTCTGATGACTGATATTTTCCAGGGATATATGAGTGGGGTCTTCTGCTGAGAACTAGTTAGGAAAAAAGAGGGAAGAGTAATGACAGTTCCAAAGAGCAAGTAGACAGACAAAACAGTCATTCTGAAAACTAGAAAAGTAAACTTAGCAGTGGAACAAGGATAACAATTTTTGATATATATTAATGTGATTTTCTTCTTTACTTTTCCATGGACGTGACCTTCTCTCTGTTTGGAGGCATCCATCTATCGGGGAGTTAGAGAGCCGGTGTCAGGGGGTATGGGAGGGTGGAGACCAGAACAAACAGAAGAAAAAGAAAGCAACCAGTACTCATCTGAATCCCTGGCAAAATCATAAATTTAAAAGCCAGGCATTTTCAAGACAAAGGGGATTTTCTAAATTCCTTCAACTCAGAATAATGTATCAAAAGCCAGTCTGGCCTGTTTGACCATCAGGTTCATTATCAGTAGACAAATCCAAGATAAGACACATGAAAAGTCCATACCATACTGGAAAGGGCAGAGCTCTCCTTAATCAGCCCTGGAAGAATCTAGACAGGAAAAGAACAAGAGGTACAGAATCATCTTCATCATTCCTGCATCTCAACGTCAACTCTGAGAAGTGAGTATGCAAAGACATTCAGATAGGTACAGAGACACCCAGGACGCTGGAGCCAGCATCCTGCTTCTCCAGGCAGAGCCCAGCAAAGACACAACCTACCAACAAAAGCCCCTTATGCATTTTACCACCAAGTCTGAATGACGGACATGGAACCAAAACACACGTATTGCTACTGGTTTTTTAAAGATTATGTCCAATGTGAATGGATATAATGGTACTGAAAGACTGGGTGATCCTAAGGGTCCTGGTACTGGACAAAGGGGACTATAAAATTTGAAATCAGTCCAACAAGAACAAATGGCTAAGACTGCAGATTTCAGAAATAATGTATTCACTAGACCCCCAAAGACTGTGGAAGACCTGATATATCTCCGTGAATATTGTGCAAAGGGATAACTGAAAATACAGATAAGACACCCCACCTCCCCATCAAAGAGAGGAGGAGCCTAGAGTTTATGAAGTCAATCAGAAGTCCCCTTGCCCTCTGTCATAAAATCAAGGTAGCTGAAAGGTGAAGCCCTCACACGTTACACAAAGTAGTAAAATCTAAAATTGAGATTATGCTAATTAAATTTCATACCTAACTTTCTAAGTCTTTCTTACCCTACTTCTTCACCATCACCTGCTAACCTTTGTCTCTGCTACTAAGTAAGACCAGAAGGAAAAGATCACAACAGTTACGGAAAATACATAGGCCTCTTTATTCTTCCAAATCAGAGTTATAGTATATAAAAGTTTGATCCAATAACAGGAAAAATCAAAGAAAGTTTAGTTTTTGATTGTGCTCCTTGGAAGTTTGAGCTCAAGAATTTAAAATTGTATGTCAGCCTCAATGTGAGATTTTTAACACTCAATTGGTGTGCATGGAAAAGGGATGGTTCAGTTCTGTCAGATTTGAGCTTTTGCCAGAGGGGCAAGGAGGTGTAAGGCATTAGCAAGGGAGTGATAATAATGATGGACCATGACATTATGCTAGACAAGAAAGGAAATGAAGAGAGAAGGGAACTGATGGATAGGGCACATAGGGTTGATGGGCTGGAGGTCTCCATGACATTGAAGAATTGTTGCAGTGGGTGTACTTGAGCAACAAAACCGGAAGAACGAGAGATGGGAGTCACAGATGAATATCAGACTTCAAATGTGGTGGAATTGCTCACACTATTTTATATATGCATAACTTCCCAAGAACATTTACACACATAGTTGTATTTGTTTAACCATTGCCACTTACAGGGAAAAGGAAATTTAATAAAGTGACTTAAATTCAGGAAATTTTTCAAAAGAGTTCAGGAAAAAAATCTATATTCAAGTATACTAAGGAATTTTAGATACAACCATATAATTACCATTAACGCTGTCACGTGATTAATATCGCTCTCCTAGGAAAGTAAACCACAGTTTTTACCAAATTACTTCATTGGTTAATTAGTGGAAGTTATTATACTAGTTTTTTTTTTTAGCTTTTCAAAAAATAAGGCAGTTTTGTCTTTCTGTATTTTCAACTTGGACATCTACCTTACAGCTAAACCAAATTAGAGAAATTTTCATACAAATATCTAGATTTGGAGATATCCAAACTGAATCAGTCTCAGTTTTCCTAGCTCACCATAGAAGTCAATGCATCCTGGGGAGGGAAAAGAAAGCTCACCTGTGATCTGCTGTATTTTTCTGTCTCTTGCTATCCAGATCAGTGTCCTGCAGCTTTTTCCACAGTTTTATAGAATGCAAATATTCCACCTTCTGAAAAAGAAAACATTTTTATGATATTTCTGTATTTGAATTTCAAGATATTCAGAAGCTGATCAACAGAATAATTCTATATATCCATTCTTAGGACTGAAAAATAACTCTGGGTCCTAAAATGTCGCAAAATTAATGGAAGAGATGCATCAAGCAACTTAAGTTAAAATGATGTTTCAGTTTAAATTATGTAGTGACCTGATGAAAGCACCATTTTTTTAAGCAACATCATCTAAATCAAGGACCCCTACATCACAGACAAAAGGCTGCTCTGACCTTGCCAATTATGCTAAGCCAGCACAGTACTCCAAAATGATTTGAATTTCAAAACGTTGAGACAGGGCAAGCTCTCTGAACTTCCCACAGTGTTCCCTATGTTTTCAACCCAGTAACTCTGTTGCCTACCCATAAATGATGTTTATTTTGTGAACTCTAGTCGGTATCAGTATATCAGTCTTTCTCTCTCCCTCTCTCTCCCTCTCTCTCTATCTCTTTTGAATAGAGGTCATTTCAAAGATGTTGTTCTAATTTTCAATTTTTAATTATTAAAGCAATGTTAGATTTTTAGATTTAAATAGCTCTTTTTCATTTTAAAAGTATCCAAAATGCTTCCATCTCTTCTAGAAAATGTTTGACCTGAATTCCTTAAGTAAACCAATTATTGCCAAATGTTTGAGAAGACGAGATAATTCTTGAGTGTTTTCCAGTTTCAACCACAAAGCAGTTAACCCATTTTTGCTCACATTTAAATATATATGTATATATATTATTTTCTTAGATTCAAATTCCTTGAGGCATCACTCAAACTTCACATGAGGTTCAGAGTGTAGTAATTAGCAGTAGGCTGCTTACATTTGCCAATATATTTGTACAAACATATGTTGGCACTCGGTTCCATATCAGCTACACATCAAAGAAGGACGCTGAGGAGAAATTATTCCACCTCAGGGCTGGATTAGTGTCTCTGCCTGAAACAGGCCTCATTTAAGGGTATGGTTTGGGGGAAATTAAAGAACCTGCCTGGTCTGGGCATGGGAGTGAATCCATTAACACAAAGCCACGCTGAAGATTTTTGCCATTTCTTTTTCCCAGCTCTGCTCCTGTGATCCTGGGGCAAGTTGTGACCTTTTCATCTTCAGTTTGCCAGTCTGCAAAGGGGGACCATGTGATTCTGTCTCAAGCACCTCTCTGGAGGATGGGCATGTCAGGAATCCTCACCCTGGAAAAGCTAGGGCCCCTGTGTGCTGACTTCTTTTATCGGGTGTGCCCAAGCCTTCATGCTGCCTGGCTCCACACCACACCCTTCTCTGTAAAGCCTGGAGTCTCCCACACAGGTAAGCCATGGACCAAAGACCATGGAAGATCTCATAATCTCACTCCACTCACCAGAAAAAGGCTTGCTTTCTTTGGGTTACTGTGGATTTTAATACTACCACTGCCAAGAAAAAATAGTAATGGTAATGGTAGCCAGCCAAAGTTCTGTTTTCTCTCATTCAGTCTCCCACAATAATCTTTTCAGGTAAGTCTGATAACTCTCATTTTGCATGTGAGGCAACAGGATTAGACATTAAATACCCTACTCATGGTCAAACCACTATTAAGTTACCAAACCAAAGCTTTAATAGAACTCTTTCTCCACAGCAAGTAGCTCAACTTTTCCGCCATAGCTCTGCATCAAGGTAAAATCATCACAAACTGATCAAGAAGAGACTGGCAGCCAGTGATATGCTAGAATAAGCTCACATCAGACTGGGAATGCCAATGATGAAATTTTCAGAAATGTTGTGACACTTGTTATTAAAAATTAAATGACTTAAATAAATTATGTTAAGAACATAGGTGGGGCCAGCACCATGGCTCACTAGGCTAATCCTCTGCCTGCGGCACCAGCACACCGGGTTCTAGTCCTGGTCAGGGCGCTGGATTCTGTCCCAATCACTCCTCTTCCAGGCCAGCTCTCTGCTGTAGCCCGGAAGTCCAGTGGAGGATGGCCCAAGTGCATGGACCCTGCACCCGCATGGGAGACCACCTGGCTCCTGGCTTCGGATCAGTGTGGTGCGCTGGCCACAGTGCGCCAGCCGCAGCGGCCATTGGGGGGTGAACCAGTGTCTCTCTCTCTCTCCACTGTCCACTCTGCCTGTAAAAAAAAAAAAAAAATAGGTGGGGTCAGCACTGTGGCACAGTGGGTTAATGCCCTGGCCTGAAGCACCAGCATCCCATACGGTCACCGGTTCAAGACCTGGCTGCTCCACTTCCAATCCAGCTCTCTGCTATGGCCCAGGAAAGCAGTACAAGATGGCCCAGGTCCTTGGGCCCCTGCACCCATGTGGAAGACCTGGAGGGAGCTCCTGGCTCCTGGCTTCGGATCTGCTCAGCTCTGGTCGTCGCAACCAATTGGGGAGTGAACCATCGGATGGAAGACCTCTCTCTCTCTCTCTCTCTGTCTCTCCTCTCTCTGTGTAACTCTGACTTTCAAATAAATAAATAAATAATCTTTAAAAAAATGTTTAAAACAAAAGGACATAGGTAAGAACTATTCAAAATTTTACACAGCAAATGGCTCAACATAATGTTTTTAAACATCTGTTGATTTATTTGAAAGGCAGAATGACACAGAGAGAGACAGAGATCTTTCATCTCCTGAGCCAAGATCCTAAAGTCTGTAAACAACTAGGAATAGGCCAGGCCAAAGCCAGGAGGCTGGAACTCCATCCTGGTCTCCCACTAGGTGACAGGGACCTGAGCGCTAGAGCGCTAGAGCCATCTAGAGCAGGTCTCTCAGGTGTCTTCCTGCACATTAACAGGAAGCACGATCGGAAGGGGAGTAGTGGGATTTGAATGGGTACTCTAATATGGGATGTGGATGTCCCAAGTGGTGGTTGAACCAACTGTATCATAGTGCCTACCATGGATCTACACCCTAGCCCTTCCCGGCTAGGCTAAGTCATTCTCCCAAAACTATAACACTCATAAGGAAACATTGAGAATACAAAATCAAAAAGTCTGCTGGTTCAGTTATCTATGGCAATGTAACAAACTACCTCAAAACTTAGGCCTATGCCATATATTTTCGGAGTTAGGAATTCCAGGGATCTGGGCGGGTGACTTGTCTAACCTGCATGTTGACACCAGAGGAGCAGCATGGGTGATACGAATCATCCAAGATGGCTTCATTCGCACATCTGGTGCCTTCACAGAGACAGCTAGAAGCTGGGGCCATTGACTGGAGTACTAACACCTGCCTCTCCACAACTGTCTCACAGTAGCTGAAACTACAAGAAATTCAAGGCTCCCAGAAAAAGCATTTCAAATGACAAAAAAGCAGAAGATCTCAAGGCTTTGGCCCAAAAATTGTTACAGCATCACTTCCGCCATGTTGTAGTGGAGAGCCTGCCCAGATTCAAGGAGAAAGGACACAGATCCCACCATTTGAAGCAAGAGGAAAAAATACAAGAGTACTTCAAAAAGTTTATGGAGAGATAGGATTAAGATGGCAGAGTAGGGAGGGAGCTTACCACTCTAGTCTAGGAGAAGATTTAAAAAAAAAAAAAAAAAAACTGTAGAGTGCAGTCTCAGGGAAGAGTTAGGGAGAAATTGGCAGAGGATAATCCAAACAAATTAAAGGGACATAGCAGCCCTATGTGGAGGGTGTAGGCATTTACAAATCAGGACCCCAGTAGCGGAGAGCCTCTGAACCAGCTTTGAAGGGAGGTGAGACCAGACTGCAGCAGCCCAAGTCAATGGTGATAAAGCTGCAGGAAAAGCCAGGAGGGAATCCAGCTTGGAGCCCTGTGGGGGATAGCGTACCTGCCAAACTAGAGGAGAAAGGTGGGGGAGCATGTTTCTCTCTCCTCTATCACCCTGCAATGGCATCCTATAAGAAGCCAATATAGAGCGGGCACCATTTTGGACAATGTAACAGCTGTACCATCTCATGTCTGAGCCCAGAAACCAGCTGCATGTAAATTCCTGAGTCTGGCAGGAGAACTGACAGGGAACTAGGTGCTCATGATTGTGGGAGGTTTGTATGCCAGGACTGTGAAAACACTGAGAATGCGTGGGAAGGCTCAGGGTGTGGCTGGACTTTGGGCAGTCACTGTGGGAGGCTCTGCATGCTCAGGGCTCTCTGGTTCCCTGGTGAGGGACATTGCTGGGGAATCTGCTTACATTGAGGACTACACAGATCCTTTGTGTGGTCCTTGTGGAGTGCAGATGAGTGTTGTTCCTGCTGGAGCTGGCGCCCAAGCACTGGTCTCATTTGAGGAAAGGAAATGATCTGAATCTATGCCAACAGAAGAAGAACCTTCATTCTGATTTAAAGAGAGAGAGAGATTTACCACACCCAACATGGGTGTTGCCTTAACACTCCCTTCACCCTGGAACACTGAACAGAGCACCCTGGCCACACTCACCACATGCTTCTAGGTATTCCCTGAAAGCAGACACTCCACTAATCCACACAGACATAGTCCAAAGATAAAAGCCACCACAGCAAAAAAAAGCAAAGAAACCAAACAGTATCTCCATAAATGCTGAATAATAAACACACCAATTCAAGAAACAAGAAAGAACACAACATGATGCTTCCAAAAGACTACAATACTTCCATACTAGATTGTGAAAATGAAGAGTTTGAAGAAATGCAAGAAATGAAATTCAAACAATTGATTATAAGATTACATACAAGTAATCAAAAGCAAATGCACAAGTTAATGAAATCTACACATGACAGGAAAGAAAATCTCTCCCATGAAATTGAGATCTTAAAGAGAAAGCAAAATGAAATCCTGGAAATGAAGAACTCAAAGAACAAATAAAAAATGCAGTGGAAAGCCTTAAAAACAGAATCAGTGAGGCAAAAGAAAGAATATCTGACTTAGAAGACAAATCACAGGATATTATAAAGTCAGACAAAAAACAAGAAGAGAAAATAAAAAAAACTAAAAAATACCATTGGAAATCTACAGGATACTATCAAATGACCCAATATTTGGATTCTT